TATCTGGAGGGGGAGAGGATGACAATAATTCCAGTATCGTAGGCAGTGTTCACCCGCCCTGTGATATTGTTATTAATATCCTGGAAGGGAGAGGATGATATGACTCCCCATAGAGCAGGAGGCGTACATCCTGGGATATTGTTCCTAATATCCATGGAGAGGAGAGGCTGATATTACTCCCAATATGGCCGTGGGTGTACATCCGCCCTGTGATATTCTTCTTAATATTCCAAGGCTGAGAGGTTGATATTACTCCCAGTATCGCAGACACTGTACACCCCCGTGTGATACTCTTCCTGCTCTCCGGAAGGGGAGAAGATAGTATTAATCCCCATATCACGGGAGGTGAACACCCACTCTGATATCTTTCCTAGTATGCAGGGGGAGAGAGGATAATATTATTCCCAATATTGCAGAAGATGTACACGCCCCCCCCATGATATTGTTCTTAATATTCCAAGGCACAGAAGACGATATTACTCCCCATATCACAGAAAGTATACACCCCCCAGTGATGTTGTTCCCATGATCCAGGAGGGAAGAGGATGATATTACTTTCTTTTTTTTTTTTTTTTTTTTTTTGAGATGGAGTCTCGCTCTGTCGCCCAGGCTGGAGTACAGTGACCGGATCTCAGCTCACTGCAAGCTCCGCCTCCCGGGTTTACGCCATTCTCCTGCCTCAGCCTCCCAAGTAGCTGGGACTACAGGCGCCTGCCACCTCGCCCGGCTAGTTTTTTGTATGTTTTAGTAGAGACGGGATTTCACCGTGTTAGCCAGGATGGTCTCGATCTCCTGACGTCGTGATCCGCCCGTCTCAGCCTCCCAAAGTGCTGGGATTACAGGCTTGAGCCACCGCGCCCGGCCCTCGGATGATATTACTTTCAACCCCTGCACCCTGCAATGCTCTCACCCTGCAACACTGACACCCAGCTGAACCTGACATGGAACCAGAGGTGCTGGCTGGGGGTGTTCATTGCTTCTCTTTTCTCCCTTGCCAGACTCAGTAGAGGAAGCTGAGACCGAGTAGCCGCAGGAACAAGGTGGGTTTTGCGCGTGGCTCAGGCTTCCTCTGGTTATGAGCTGGGCCTTGGGGTAACGCGGGGGGTGGTGACAGAGCTGAGTACGGTGGGCATTGGATGCGACAGTCACCCCTCTGTGGTGTGGGCTGGGGGCTTGGAGGATGTCGCCTGAGGTGGGCCTGAACCTCCCGTCTACTCTGGCACTGGAGGCCGTGGGGTCCCACACTTCTTCCAATGAACATGCTGACCCCCGCCTGGTCCCCGACCGAGGTGGGACATCCTTTCCACTGCTGAGGCCCACATATAGCTGTGGGTTCCTTCTTCATGACCTGGAGAAGCTGCAGTTCACTCTGTGCTCTGCCTCAGAGATGGGAGGCCACACTGCCCTCAGCGGGTAGCAGAATTCAGAGCCTTAGGTTGCAGGGGCCTCAACTGATGTCCCTGAAAGGTCTGCTCCTTCCTGAGGGGCTCATTCAGGGAGGCCCTCCCGTCTCCCCTCTGCGGCTCTGTCTCTTCCCCTCAGGGTCCACATGTGGACAGCCTGGTGATGTGGACGCACCAAGGGCTCTTGGAATTTCCCGGGGAATGGGATCAATCCCAGTACATTTGGGATGCAGGCACAAGGTTCCAGAGGAGGCCGGGAAGCCAGTGGGGAAGGGAAGGTTGTTGTAGGTTTGCCTCAGGGAGGGGGTGGTTCCACCCTCTGCCAAAGTCTCTGGAGCAAAGGCAAGTGGCTCTCCAGCTGCCCCGGAGGCCAGGGTAGTGGCTGGGAGGGGCTGTGTGCAGAGTGTGCCAGGCCCCACCCACAAATGGGGCTTGTAGGGTCCTGGGGTGGCAGAGACTGAGCGTAGGAAAGTGAGCTTCAGGCCACAGAAGCCACAAAAGGGTGAGTGGCGTGATGGTGGGGCAGCACTTGGCCCCGGGTTAGGGAAGTCTCTTTAGTCTAGAACCAGAGGGTTGAGAGGATTTAGTCAACTAATAGGTGGTGGATGAGGGGCTGGTGGTGGAGGAGGGGCTGGTGATGTAGCCTGTGTGAAGGCCCAGGGTTGAGGGAGTGGGGGTGAGTGAGCGAGGATGAGTGGGGTGTGAGTGCTAGTGAGCGGAGGTTTCATGGGGTGAGTGAATGAGAGTGTGAGCGGGGATGAGTGGGGTGTGAGTGGGGTGTGAGTGGGGGTGAGTGAATGGGGTGTGAGTGAACAGGAGTGTGAGCGGGGATGAGTGGGGTGTGAGCGGGGATGAGTGAGTGGGGTGAGTGAGTGGGAATGTGAGCGGGGATGAGTGGGGTGTGAGTGGGGGTGAGTGAGTGGGAGTGTGAGCGGGGATGAGTGGGGTGTGAGCGGGGGTGAGTGAGCAGGGCTTATGCAGGGAAGTGCAGAGTTGGGAGCGGGTGGGTTGGGTGCTGGATGGTGAGAAGCTCTTCTGGAGAGCTAAGCAGGGCCTGGGGCCTCAGGCTGTGGCTTGGCTTTTTCCCCCAAGAGCACTGGGGAGCCATGGGGTGCTATCGAACAGTCACTGCAGACTGAGCAGTGAACGGACAGTAGGTGGGCAGGGCTGTCTGAAATCTAGGCCGCAGAGGATAGATGAGGAAGTTGAGTCCAGGAAAATGGCTGAGTCGAGGGATACTGTTGTGGGTCCCCTCTGCCTTGCAGCGCTTTGTCTTGGCATAGTGAGACCACTCAGAGGTGCCTCCTGTGGCCTGGACCAGAGCCCCAGGGGCTGTGACCAAACCTGCCCATTTCCCAGCACAGGCCTGGCACCCACTCCTGGCCCTAGGAGGGATGAGATTTTGGAAAGGACCGTGTGAAGGGGCCCTGGTCCCACATATCTGCCCAAGGAGGGGTGGGGGGTTCTGACCCAGGCTTCTTCCCCAGGGGCATTCTCTGACTGGAAGGAGACCCTCCAGGAACCCAGCGCCCCAGCCCCCACTGCAGCCTCCGGTGGCTCCTGGCACAACAGCCTGTGACACCTCCTCCTACGAGGCCCTCCCCGGGGTGCTGGGGGATTCAGACTCGGAAATGCAGGCCAGGGAAGGGGGATCATGCTTCCCTGTCTCCCCACCCTGCGCTGAACGGTCGAGGAGACCGAGGGCGGCGCTGATACCCCACATGCTTACTTGGGGTCATTTTTGAGTCACTTTCGGTAGTTTGTGTCCTTCTAGGAGTGTGGCTGTTGTGTCTGGATGGTCTGATTTCTTGGTGTACAATTGTTCGTGGTGTTTTCATGGAATCCTTTTATTTCTGTCAGGTCGGCAATAATGTTTCCTCTTTCATTTCTGATTTTAGAAACTTGGGCTTTTAATTATTTATTTATTTATTTATTTTTATTAAAGATGGGGTCTCATCATGTTCCCCCAGGCTGGTCTTCAATGCTGGCCTCAGCGATCCTTCCACTTCCGCCTCACAAAGTGCTGGGATGACAGGCGTGAGCCATGGTGCTCAGTCTCTGATTTTAGTCATTTGTGTCCCGTCTTTCTTTTCTTGGTTAGTCTGGTGAAAGATTTGTCAATTTTGTTATTATTTTCAAAAAACCCACCTTCGGTTCTGTTGCTTATGTCTTGTTTTTCCATTCTCTGTATTTTTACTTCCCATCTCCACTCTCACGTTTATTATTTTCTTCCTTTTATTCACTTTGCGTTTAGTTCTTTTTCTAGTTTCTCAAGGCGGAAGGTTAGGTTTTTGATTTGAGATTTTTCTTCTTTGAATGTAGACATTTGCAGTTATAAATTTCCCTTTCAGCACTGCCTTAGCTGCATCTTGGAATTTTTGATACGCTGTGCTTTTTTTTTTTTTTTTTTTTTTTTTAAGACAGAGTTTTGCTCTATTGCCCAGGCTGGGGTGCAGTGGTGCAATCTTGGCTCACTGCAACTTTTACCCAGATTCAAGCCATTCTCATGCCTCAGCCTCCCGAGTAGCTGGAATTACAGATGTATGTGCACCACCCCCCCCCCGCCTTTTTTTTTTTTTTTTTTTTTTTTTTTTTTTTTTAATAGAGACAGGATTTCACTATGTTTCCCAGGCTGATCTCAAACTCCTGGACTCAAGCGATCCTCCCGCCTCGACTCCCACAGTGCTGGGATGAGAGGCGTGAGCCACCGCGCTGGCCCGGGCTGTGCATTTGTTTGCATTCTTCTCCAATTAGTTTTCGGTTTCCCGGATGGTCTCTTTGACTCACTGGTTGTTTAGGAGTGTGTAATTTCCACATATTTTTGAATTTCCCACATTTCCTTCACTGTCGATTTCGAGTGTTCATGCCAGTACAGCTGAAGAACACCTCTGCTTTGGTCTCAGTCCTTCTCCATTCACTGAGGCTCATTTTGTGGCCTGGCACATGGTCTGTCATGGGGAATATCCCATGGGTGCTCGAGAGGATGGTGTATTCAGCTGTTGTTGGGTGGCGTGTGTGACAGATGTCCATTCGGCGTACCTGGTTTCCTGTATTAATCTCCGGAACGTTTCTCACACTAGAAAATCAGAAGCTTTCCACTGTTCCCAGCGCCCTGGCTTTGGGAGAGGCCAGTGAGCCTGTGGCTTGGGAGCCTGGTTGCATGAGAGAAGCATGTGTGGGAACGCCAGGGGCCGGCTTTGAACCCCATTCCCCCAACATGATGCCGTGTGTGGCAGACATGACGCTTGGCTTTGCTCTCTGCGAGTTCCATCTGTGACAGGGGCTACTTGTGCCCCTGGCCTCATCAGCTCAGGCTGAAGGTGGCCCTGGTCCTGACCAGAGGGACTTTGTGAAGCAGAAATAGATGGCCTGGTGCAGGGGCCGAGCCTGGCCAAGATCTCAGCCCTGGGAGTTGTAAAGAAGGCCGGCCTGTACCATGAGCATCTGTACCAAGCTGTGCCCATGTCACGGTGTGCTTGGCATCTGCCCTTGCACAGGTGCATGGCCTGTCTGCGCTCAGGCTCCCCGCCTATGGGACCCAGGCTCACAGAGGTGAAAGAGGCAAGCATGGCGCAGGGGCCTCCGAGAACAGCCAGCCTCGCTTCGATGCTGGGAGACTAACATCTTCCATTTTGTCTTCTGCCCAGGCCAGCTGCGGGCCGTCCAGTGGCTGTGCTACTTCTACAGCGTCATCATGCCCAGGAAGGCCCAGTGTGTCATCTACCACAAGCTCCAGCTCTCCCTGACCCACAAAGTGGCCGACAAGGTGCTGGAGGGGCAGCTCCTGGAGACCATCAGTCAGCTCTACCTGTCCCTGGGCACGGAGTGGTAAGGGCTGGCTTTGCAGTGGTGGAGGTGGGGGCGGGCAGGGCAGGGAGGGGGGCACAGGGAAGCTGGCTCAGGGCGCCATCAGCCCCTCTCCTTTTGATCATTTGGTTCTTTGGCATCAGATGCTTTGAGCTGGTGGGCCTGGGGTCGTCCCAGGGCTGCTGCTGGCCCGTGAGTCCCAGCTTGAGCCTCCCTTGTTGGGTCAAAGGTCATCTCAACCCCAGCAGAGGCAGTATGTGCACTCTGGGCTGTTCTTCCTATTATGGTGGCTTTTGTCATCTGATCTTTGCCTGCCCTGAATCTTCACTCCTGGCCTTCATCTGTCCCCTTAAATGTGACCACAGCAGCCACCTGTGGCTTCTCTCCCACAGAAGACAAAGCCAGTTGTTTCACCTCCTTCCCTGGGGCAGGGTTTCAAGGTCTCACGTCCCATATGTGGCCTACTCCCCTTCCCCCAAGCATCCTGACCTGGTGGGGTAACCATGGCCCTGGCCACCCCACCCATAGGGCCCAGTGACATTGCTGCAGTCACACCCCCTCGAGTGTTGGACTTACTGAGAGAGCAGGGAAGGAGCCAGATTCCATGGGGACCTGGGAGACTGGCTCCAGTCTTGGCCTCAGGTTCACAGAAGGAAAATGGGCCAGTGTGCTAGAGCTATGCTTCGCAAAGTGTAGTCCCTGGACCAGTAGAGCAGCATCCATGTCACCTAGGAGTTTGTGGCAAGTGGGAGTTCTAGGGCCTGCCCCAGGCCTGTGGAGCCGGAAGCTCTGGGGGCAGGGCCAGCAAGCTATAAGGACAGGCCTCCGGGTGACTGTGATGCCTGCACACCTTGAGAATCATCGGCCCAGATAGCCTCTGAACACTAACGGCTCCTGGTGCATCTGGAGAAGACACAGGCCATGTCTGGGAGGCAGGGGAGATGGACTAGCACACTCCTCCTGCCACAGGGCATCATGATGCTTGATTCCCTCAGAAGGATGTCCTTCATCTTTTCCATGCCGTGTGTGTTCACCCTGGCCCTCCCAGCAGCCTGGGAAGGGCAGAACACTGCACACACAAGAGGGCTGTTCCCAATCTGCATATTCCAGTTCATCTGTCGCCAGACCCACGGGAGGAGGCAGACTGGTTCCAGGAGGATGAGAGCCCTTGTTCTGACACCTGCGTCTGATTCCAGGGCCTACAAATCCGCTCTGGACTACACCAAACGAAGTCTGGAGATTTTCATTGACCTCCAGAGGAAAGAGGAGGCGGCGCATGCCTGGCTGCAAGCAGGGAAGATCTATTACATCCTGCGGCAGAGCGAGCTGGTGGACCTGTACATCCAGGTGAGTGACAAGGGATGCAGGAGGACCCTGTGCTGTTCACTCTCTGTCCATCCACTCATCCATTCATCCTTCCATCATCTATCTGTTTACCTGCTCATCCTTCTATCCATCAATCCATCATCTATCCATCATCTTCCCATACACCTGTGGGTCCTTCCATCCATCCATCCATCCTTCCATCATCCATCCATTCACCTGTTCATCTTTCCATGCAACCATCCATTCATTCACCTCTCCATCCATCTATTCACCTGTTCGTCCATCCATCCATCCATCCATCCTTCCATCTTTCCATCATCCATCCATCATTCTTCTGTTCACCTCTTGGTCCGTCCATCCGTCCATCCTTCCATCTTTCCGTTATCCATCCAACCATCTTCCATCCATCCATGATCCATCCATTCACCTGTCCGTCCATCCATCCATTCATTCATCATCCATCCTTTTATCATCCATCCATCCATTCACCTGTTCATCCATCCCTCCATCCATTCTTCCATCCTTCCATCATCCATTCACCTGTTCATTCTTCCATCCATCCATCATCCATCCATCTTTCCATCATTCATCCACTCGCCTGCTCATCCTTCCATCCATCCATCCATCATCCATCCATTCACCTGTTCATCCTTCCATTCATCCATCCATCCGTGCATCCATCATTCATTCATTCCTTTATCATCCGTTCATTCAGCGACCATCCATCCACCTGTTCATCCATTCATCCATCCATCCTTCCATCATCCATCCATTCACCTGTTCATCCTTCCATCCATCCATCCATCCATCCACTCATCTCCTGTTCATCCTTCCATCCATCCATTTATCCATTCATTCATCCATCCTTCCATCCATCCGTCTTTCCATCATCCATCCATTCATCTGTTCATCCTTCCATCCATCCATCATCCATCCTTTTATCATCCATCCATTCACCTGTTCGTCCATCCATCCGTCCATTCATCCTTCCATCAACCATCCATTCACCTGTTCATCTTTCTATCCTTCCATCCATCCACCATTCATCCATCCACCATTCATCCATCTGTCCATTTATCCATTCATCTGTTTATCTTTCCATCCATCATCCATCCATCTGTCCATCCCTCCATCCACCATTTATCCATCCATTCACCTGTTGTTCCATCCACTGTCCATCCTTGCATCATCCATCCATTCACCTGTTCATCCTTCCATCCATCCATCCTTCATCCATCCATCCATTCAACCATATATCCATCCATCCACTCATCTCCTGTTCATCCTTCCATCCATCCATTTATCCATTCATCCATCCATTCATCTGTTCATCCTTCCATCCATCATCCATCCATCCATCCTTTTATCATCCATCCTTCATCCATTTATCATCCATCCATTCACCTGTTCATCCATCCATCCGTCCATTCATCCTTCCATCAACTATCCATTCACCTGTTCATCTATCCTTCCATCCATCCACCTGTTCATCCTTCCATCCATCCACCATTCATCCATCTGTCCATTTATCCATTCATCTGTTCATCTTTCCATCCATCTGTCCATTCATCCATCCATCATTTATCCATCCTTTTATCTATCCATTCACCTGTTGTTCCATCCATCTGTCCGTTCATCCTTCCATCCATCCATCATCCATCCACATATCTATTTATCCATCATCTATCCATGCTTCCATCATCCATCCATCCACCTGTTCATCCATCCATTCTTCCATCATCCATCCACCCACCTATCTACCTATTAATCCATCCCTCCATTCATCTATCTGTCCATTTGTTTATCTATACATTCGTCTATCCACCATCTATCCATCCACATGTACATACATCATCTACCCTCCACCCATCCATACATTATCTACCCACCAATACATACATACAGACATACACACATCATTCCATCCTCCATCATCCATGCATCCAAGCATTAATCTAGCCACACGCCCATCCATCCATCCATGTGTCTACCTCTTCTATCCATTCATTCATCCATCCACTCATTCCTAAACCACTGCTGAGCACCTGTTGTGTGCCTTTTCCCTCCCTCCAACTGGTTCCCTCACATCCTCCCCCAGTGGCCAGCATCTTTTCCCTGAGGGCAGAGGCGTGGCCCCTCACAGTGCACAGCATCTGCGGGTATACAGCACATGCTCAAATAATGCGACCACTCAGTTAACACACAGAACTTGCTCCAAGCGACACGTGGCACATCTCCTTACAAAATGAATCTATCATAGTGACTGTTTTCAGAGGCTTTCCCAAACACAGTGTGATCTGGAACAAATTGTGAAGCCCACGAGCCTGGTGAAGTTTTCATTATTGAGCACCTGCTGTATACCTCCTTGAGCTGAGGAGAAGGATCAAGAGCTCATGGCCAAGAGGGGACCAGGCCCACCCACAAACACTGCTGATGTGGCAGGGATGTGGCAACGCAGAAAGGAACCAGGGGCTGGGCTCCCAGCAATCTGGGGGCCACAGAGACTGGTTTGAGTGCAGGGGGAGTGGGCTA